AGGAGTGGGAACACGTTACCTGTATGAAGATGTGTTGTGTTGTGTGTTCACCTGTTCTCACCTGTCCTCACCTGTTCCCACCTGTCCTCACCTGTCCTCACCTGTTCTCACCTGTTCCCACCTGTTCCCCCCTGTTCTCACCTGTTCCCCCCTGTTCTCACCTGTTCCCACCTGTTCCCACCTGTTCTCACCTGTTCTCACCTGTTCTCACCTGTGCAGGATCGCCCTGGAGGAGTGGGAACACGTTACCTGTATGAAGATGTGTTGTGTTGTGTGTTCACCTGTTCTCACCTGTTCTCACCTGTCCTCACCTGTGCAGGATCGCGCTGGAGGAGTGGGAACACGTTACCTGTATGAAGATGTGTTGTGTTGTGTTCTCACCTGTTCTCACCTGTGCAGGATCGCGCTGGAGGAGTGGGAACACGTTACCTGTATGAAGACGGTGTCGCTGCGCTCCGAGGAGACGGTGTCGGGCCTCAAGGGTTACGTGGCCGTGGGCACCTGCCTGATGCAGGGCGAGGAGGTCACCTGTCGGGGCCGGGTACGCACCTGGGCACACCTGGGGGGCACCTGGGCACACCTGGGGGGCACCTGGATACACCTGGGGGACACCTGGATACACCTGGGGGACACCTGGGGGACACCTGGATACACCTGGGGGTGCCAGCACACACCTGGGCTTTTGAGGACTCACCTGAGGTGTACCAGGAAACACCTGGGGTTGTCCCAGCGCTCACCTGGGCTGGCCAGGACTCACCTGGGCTGTCCCAGCGCTCACCTGGGCTGGCCAGGACTCACCTGGGCTGTCCCTGTGCTCACCTGTCCCTCATCTGTGCTCACCTGTGTTCACCTGCTCTCACCTGCTCTCACCTGTTCTCACCTGTCTCACCTGTTCTCACCTGTCTCACCTGTTCTCACCTGTCTCACCCCTCACCTGTCTCACCTGTTCTCACCTGTCCTTCACCTGTCTCACCTCTCACCTGTCCCACACCTGTCCCTCACCTGTCCCTCCCCTGTTCCTCACCTGTCCCTCACCTGTCTCATGTGTGTCTCACCTGTCCCACCTGTATTTCACCTGTCTCCCCTGTCCCCCCTGTCCCACCTGTCCTCCACCTGTCCCTCCTGTCTCCCCTGTCCTTCACCTGTCCCACCTGTCCCACCTGTGTCTCTCACCTGTCCCACCTGTCCCACCTGTCTCACCTGTCCCACCTGTGTCTCTCACCTGTGTCTCTCACCTGTCCCACCTGTGTCTCTCACCTGTGTCTCTCACCTGTCCCACCTGTGTCTCTCACCTGTGTCTCCCACCTGTCTCACCTGTCCCACCTGTGTCTCTCACCTGTGTCTCCCACCTGTCTCACCTGTGTCTCTCACCTGTGTCTCTCACTTGTCCCACCTGTCTCACCTGTGTCTCTCACCTGTCCCACCTGTGTCTCTCACCTGTCCCACCTGTGTCTCTCACCTGTGTCTCTCACCTGTGTCTCCCACCTGTCCCACCTGTGCCAGATCCTGATCCTGGACGTGATCGAGGTGGTTCCAGAGCCGGGGCAGCCGCTCACCAAGAACAAGTTCAAGGTGCTCTACGAGAAGGAGCAGAAGGGACCGGTGACAGCCCTGTGCCATTGCCATGGTTACCTGGTGTCCGCCATCGGCCAGAAGGTACCTGAGATACACCTGGACACACCTGGGGTACACCTGGACACACCTGGGGACACCTGGACACACCTGGACACACCTGGGGGGTCACTGTCACACCTGGGTACAGCTGGGACACACCGGTGACAGCCCTGTGCCATTGCCATGGTTACCTGGTGTCCGCCATCGGCCAGAAGGTACACCTGGACACACCTGAGATACACCTGGACACACCTGAGATACACCTGGACACACCTGGGGGGGTCACTGTCACACCTGGGTACAGCTGGGGACACACCGGTGACAGCCCTGTGCCATTGCCATGGTTACCTGGTGTCCGCCATCGGCCAGAAGGTACCTGAGATACACCTGGACACACCTGGGGACACCTGGACACACCTGAGATACACCTGGGGACACCTGGTGCCACCACAGGAGGTGTCTGAGGTCCCCACGGGGTCAGGGATGTCCATGGTGACCTCAGAATGTCCCCCAGATCTTCCTGTGGAGCCTGAAGGACCAGAGCTGAGCTGGGTGATCTCTCAGCCATGGTTGGGTTGGGGTTGGTGACCTCAGGTGCCACCACAGGAGGTGTCCGAGGTCCCCACGGGGTCAGGGATCTCCATGGTGACCTGGGGATGTTCTCCAGATCTTCCTGTGGAGCCTGAAGGACAACGAGCTGACGGGGATGGCGTTCATCGACACGCAGCTCTACATCCACCAGATGATCAGCGTCAAGAGCTTCATCCTGGCCGCCGACCTGATGAAGAGCATCTCGCTGCTGCGCTACCAGGAGGAGAGCAAGACGCTGTCCCTCGTCAGCCGGGTGAGTGACAGTGACAGTGACAGTGACAATGGAGAGCGAGACGCTGTCCCTCGTCAGCCGGGTGAGTGACAGTGACAGTGACAGTGACAATGGAGAGCGAGACGCTGTCCCTCGTCAGCCGGGTGAGTGACAGTGACAGTGACAGTGACAGTGACAATGGAGAGCGAGACGCTGTCCCTCGTCAGCCGGGTGAGTGACAGTGACAGTGACAGGGACAATGACAATGGAGAGCGAGACGCTGTCCCTCGTCAGCCGGG